GGTGTTGTTTTTCGCCTTTTGTGGCTGACGCTCTTGCAAAGCGGCCCGTGCCCCTGTGGCGGGGAGGCAGAGCGGGGAGCGGGGAGGGCTGCGCTCCGCTGTGAAGTGTTAGCACAGCATTTGCTCGCGCCCTGCCACAAAGGGCAAGTTCAAAGAAAGGGAGCATCTAATTAGGTATTAACGAGGTTTAAAACAGAAGAGTGTGGGGACAAGGAGAGGGAAATGATTATTAGCCATCGTGTTATTTAGTTCTGAATGGGGCAGCTTTCTGCCTCGGGAGATTTTCAGTTAAGCTGATCCTCATGAATGAACCATACTAAGAGTGCAAAAAAATTGCACAGATACATCGATTAATCAAAGAATTGGCTTTAAAAAATAAAAATAAAAAAAATCAGTGACTTGTATATGCCTCCTAAGCTTTGTACCTCTATTATTTTTTATACGACCTTTGCGCCACTGAGGAGCTTAAACGAGTATTTTCCAATGCAAGCCGTCTCCCACATTCACCTCATCCGGCAAGCTGGGACTTGAGGAAGAGCACCGGGATTTGGAGCTCTGATAAAAATCCTGGGAGTTGGCGGCAGTGAGTCAAGTCCAAGTCTTGACGTTTTTCCCACTGCAAGACCTGAAGGGGAAGGAGCTCGCTGGAGACCTGCCGTCCCCGGTGGCAACGGGACCCCAGGCTTGGCACCAACTGAGATGCTGGCAGGACCTTTGAAACCACCTTCGTTAGTGAGGTCAATTAGACGTCCCTTTAAAAGGGAAATCTTGATGCTACTTAAAGGAGAGGAGCCCGGGGCCGCTGGACCTGCCTAGGCTGGGAGAGGAGAAGGTGCCGCACGCGGGACCGGCCGCTCACCTCTGGACTTCATCCCGATGAAGCGGTTCTCCACAATGTCGATCCGCCCGACGCCATGCTTGCCTCTGCAGAGGAGAAACGGAGCGGCTGGCACCCTGCGCACCCCGAGCCCTCGCAGCGGGTGGCCGAGCCAGGAGCCCAGAGTGAGCCCAGAGGCAAGCCATGGGGACAACCGGGGGGCAAACCCAGAACGACGACCCGCGAGCAGCTCTGCTGCGTCCAGCAGCATCAGCAGCGATCCCCTGACAGCCGAACGCTGTCTTTTCTCTGCCGTGGGAGAAGTGTCCCTCTTAATAAACCCCAGGTGCTGGCACAGCCTCCTGGCCACATGGCACAGGGCTCCCAGAGAGCCTATATGGCCACCTGGGACATGGTGACCTGCGTGGCATGCCACCCTAGGCAGGTGGGACAGGGCTGTCCCAACACCCAGGAACAGCAGGTACCAACGCTGTTTGGAGGATGCTGTCTGGGTCAGCCAGATAGGATGGGTTCCCAGAGATGGACTTTTTCTCCTTGTCCCTCTCTTAGCTTTGTCACTGGTGCCAACCTCCCTCTCCTGCCCTCATACTACATGGGCTGGAAAGAGCCACAGTCAGCCATGGCCTGGCGGCCACCAGAAAATGAACCGGGCAAGGAGACGGTGGCGGGGAGGGACACACGGAGCGATGCTGCAGCTGTATTCATGATGGCTGAAGTCATTTTAAAACCACTTAATTAACATTTAAAAAGAGAACTACATGGAAAAGTTCATTCCCATTCAGCTCCGGGAGGATAAAGGCGGAGGCACAAAGGAGGACAGCACCGGGGAGCTGCGTGGCACCGGGCGAGGGGCGGGCTGCGCGGGTGCCCCGTGGGTGCCTGCTCCCTGGCCAGGGCAGCGCCAGCGCGG